CTGATGACTAAGATGAAGAAAAAAACATAACTTAAGGATTGGTTTATATTGGTGGACTCTGCCTACAATCTGCCAAAGAATAGCCATTACCACTTAAGAGGATTTACTAGAGTGTCCAAGATGTATATTCTCTGCAATAACCTTGAGACAAGGGAAGTGCATCAGTAGTAAAGTAAGCACTTGCAATAAGAAGCGTGCTGTTTTTATCATAATAGCAATCTCAAACTTATCATGTAAATGGTAAAGCTACTTTTGCACTATCTGAGGAAGCATAAACAGAAGGGCAAAGGTAACTGATTTCCATTGTGTCATCAAATTCTTTATAATCTGATGAAATTCTATTAATAATACCACAAAGGGAAAAAGAGTTTCATACATTGACAATTCTGATGTAATTCGATATAATTTCTTTAACAGATACCTTCAAAACAACATCAAAACTCCAACTACAGGGAAATGAAAACCTGTATTGTATAAAGAGGCAAATAATGTATTTTTAATAAAAATTGCTATGAGACAAATTGCATAATAAGATTGTATTTAAGAGCTACATTTTTTTTCTGAAAAACAAAGGGTGATTCTTTTGTGTTTACCTGTTAGTTGCTTTTCTCTGTGATACTGCAAATGCAGTTAGTAGTTTATGAAAATAAAACTGATGTCCTGGCAATGCTGAAGCATGCATGGAGAGCCTGTATGTGGGGGTTCTGCTGAACTTGTCCATATTTGGTTCACAGTCTAGTTGATGAGGACGACTGAAAGCTTAAACCATACAAAATTGACAATTCTACAGTTCCAAAAAGAAGGGCTAATATAAATTTTTATAACCTAATTTATCAATTTACTTTCTCTGTCTTAACTTGTTAACTATTTAATTTTTAAACAACAAAATTAAAAAATGACGTTTAGCTCACACCTAACTGACTACCATGATTTTCCCACTTTTAATTCCATTGCCAAGCTTCCCTCTAGACTTGGCACTGACAATGATTTATTATCTTATCATTTCCTATACTATATATCATTTCTCACCAAGACTGGATCCACTTGAAAAAAATCCTTAACTGCATAGAAATAAAGAAAAATATATTTGTGCAAACACCACAGACTCATTGGGCCCATAAAACAAGTTCTATGCAAGAAAACCAGACATGAAGAGGCATTATGATGTTTATAATGTAGGAGTAGGTATCAAAGAAAACCAAAACACTGAAGAATTGGGGAAAAAAGGCAATGATTGTACAGATAGTGACTGGGGAATATTAGAACAGAATTCAGTGATAAGTTCATTATTGAACCAGAAGATAAAAATAGCATTTTTTCACAATGTTATCACACATATTTAAAAGGATATATATCTTGATCCTGAATTAAACAATGTACTATATATATGTTTGTCAAAACTTTCATGGCAAGTACATTTTTATGTATAAGTTAAATATTTATAATTTATATTCAAGAAAAAACTAAGCAAGGGATGAAGATACAATAATCGATGTAAATGGCAAAATGCTTTTTTTCTCATCAAAGGAACTTTAATTATACCTAAAGCATGTACATCCAAAAGGACAAAGTTGCACAATTGGTATTTTGAAAGAAAAATCAAAGAAAAGCCTCAAGATCAAAAGTAGGACTGAGGAGATGGTTCAGGTGGTAAAGTGCTTGCTGAACAAGAATGAGATCTTGAATTTCACCCCAGGAATCCAGGTTAAAAACCCAAGCATGGCTTTGTGAGTTTGTAGTTCCAGTATGCAGACAGGCAGATCCTTAAATTTCACTGTCTGAAACAGTCTATCAAAAACTGTGTGCCTCAGGCCAGTGAGAGACCCTGTCTCCCTCATACACACTCAAATACAACGAAGGTAGTTGACATTTGAGGAACAGTCAGGATCATTGTTATCTTGTATCCACACATACATCTGCCCACACATGAACAAGCATACCCACTATATTCACAAACACAAATAGAAAATAATACTATTTGTTTTATTTCTGTTTCTAAATGACTGGGTAATTGTCCAGTTTACACTGACTTTCTTTTTTATGTCAAATGGTTTCATGTTGCCTTTCCATCACGGCTTGGAGAACTATCACTGTTTATATTGATGTTATAATGGTTGATAGAAGTATCAAAATATTTGTGCTGCAAGGAGTAGATCTCATTTTAAGGACAAGGTAGGTATGTACAGTAACTCACAAAACAGAAACACATTGGGCAATAGCCTTATTAAAATCAAAGTTATCAGTCATTAGTATTTTGCTAGCCTTTAGCTTAACAATCAACATAATCAAGAAAGAGCATCACAAAGGATGATGAAACATAGGTGAGAGAAAGAATTCTCAGTATTTTCAATGCTCCAGAACCAAAAGAATTTTCACTCTTGACCTATAAGTTAAGAACATTTATTAAGATGAGATACCAAGTTGATTTCTAGAAAACTAACATCAATGAAAGTTTTATACATAAGTAATATTTATTAATTACCCACTTCATATATTTTAATAATATTAAATAGTATAAATCCATTAGCTACATAACTGTGCTTATATACAGTGGAGTAGTTTGAAATTAGTAGATTAAATCATTTTATATACATAAATTGGAAATATTTCCAATTTGAAGACTGGAGAGTAAAAAGTAAAATTAGTAATAGAAATGTTTTTGTTTAAAATAGAATTAATGTTCAAGAATGCACATTAAGTACCAATTTGGAGAATCTGGAAATGTAAACTCCCATGTGGCTTTTCCCTCCTCAGTTTACATTTACGTGTTGTTTAGATGGCTTAAACAACCTTATACGTTGTCAAGTTAAGAGTTAACAAAAGAAAATGATCAACATGAACCCCTACAAATTCAACAGTTTAATGTCAAAATCACTCAAACACACCTTAAAAATTATAACAAAGAATACCAATATGTAAACAGTGTTTTTCTTGTGAAATATCACAATTTACTTAATAAAAGGCTTTCTCAGCAAGAGTTTTATCACTAACATGAAACTCATTTGTGAACAATCTATTGTTAGTTTTCTCTAAAACATTCCTCTCCCTTAGTCAGCTGATACTAATAAGGAAG